GAGGATCACTACAAGTCTGATCTGTATAGTGAGACATTGTACACCCTGTACTAAAATACATCATAAAAAAAACAGCCTATACTATGTCGTTTTTTGTAAAACAGTGACAGTAAAGATCCACATGTAGTTGTTGGCATGATTATAAAAATAGGGAAGGATACATATTAGATTACAAATATAGGCAGGATTATGATACATGTAGTGTAGTGAAAGGGATTGGGAGCCAAACCATGTAGATAAGGGGGGAAATATTTAGTAAAAGAATTCAATCTGTGATTGTATTTATATATATCGTGTGTGTGTGTGTGTGTGTGTGTGTGTGTACATAGTTTCTTTATAAAAACTAATTCATACAGTTATGATCTGGATAATCAAGGGATCCTTTTGAAGGGAGAGGACTAAAAATAAAAATGTAGTAAGCCAATATGTTCATGTAGGATTAATTTGAGGGGAAAAGACATTAGGGAAAGGAAACATACATTTTAAGCAAGATAACCAGAGAAGGAAAGAACAGATTGAACTTATCTATAAGATGAGGACTTAATTGCAGAATAATTGGGATAATAAGAAAAAAAGTTGTCCAAGTCACAAAAGACCATATATTGTGCAGTTTATGTGAAATATCTGCCAGACACAAATCTATAGAGAAAAAAAATAGATCCATGGTTCCCAGGACAAAGGGGGTTAAGAAGAAATGGGAAATTGCTGCATATGTACCTGGAGTTTCTTTTTAGACTGATAAAATGGGTAAGTGGTAAGATATGTGAAATACCTCAAGAAAGCTATTAAAAGAGAAGGATGTTGTTAGCCAGATGAATTGGAGTCTTATTTGGTAGAGAACCTTTTAGTGAGAATGAGTTTGATCTAATGGACTAGAAACTATTCCTGGTTATGAATATAGAGTAAACTTTACTTTTTTGTCCTTTGGGGACAGTTTCACTATGGAGTTCGGGCTGGCCTCAAACTCACTTTTTTTTTCATTTATTTATTTATTTGATAAGTGCTCGCTTCGGCAGCACATATACTAAAATTGGAATGATATATTTATTTGATAAAAGGTCTCACTATGTAGTGATATTGATCCTCCTGTCTCAGCCTCCCTGGGACTATAGGCATGTGCCACCACACCCAGTCTCGGGCCTTCATGCTATATGGTATCAGGGATTGAACTCAGATCCTTGCACTTGCCAGGCAGGTGCTTAGACTGCCAAGCTATCTCCCCAGTCCTTGAACTCCATTTTGCTTCCTCAGCCTCCCAAGTGCTGGAATTACAGTCATGCCCCACCATACCCAACTTAGAACAGACTTCTGTGTATTCACTTTTTTAGCCTCTTTATTTTCTTTTTAGTATTTTAGTTATAAAAGTGTATGTTCAAGGCCCAGGTTGGCCTTGAACTCTCAGTGATTCTCTTGACTCAGCCTTTTCTTCTTTTTCTTTTTCTTTTTCTTTTTTTTTTTTTTGAAACAGGGACTTGGTACATAGTTCAGGCTGGCCTTGATCTCATTATATGGTTCGGCCTGAACTTGGGGCTATCCTCTTGCCCTAGCCTCCCAAGTGCTAGGATCACTAGCATGTGTCACCACACCTAGCTATTTTTTATTTTGAGATAAGGTCTCACTAAGTTACCCAGGATGAGCTTGAACTTGTGATCCTTCTGTCTCAGCTTCCCACAGTGGTGGGATTACAGGTGTGTACTACCACACCTGGCTACAATTTGTTGTTAAAATTAGTAGCTGGCGGGCCGGGGAGATGGCTCAGTAGGATAAGCACTTGACTGGCAAATGCAAGGATCTGAGTTCAATCCCCAGTTCCGCAAAAAAAAATTAGTAACTGGCCACTGGAACAGTGATGACTGGGTGAATGCTTTCTTTATAAAGTGAAAAATTTGCCTGTTTCTACACTAGGTTCTAGTGCAAAAAAGTAAACACAGTCACCAAAGAGGTACCCCACGCAGCCTTCACTTGGCAATAGGAACAGTAACACAACAACTAATGCTTATTTATTGGATGCTTACTATGTGTAAAGTAGTAACTGTTCTAATTATTTTATGTATCACCCCACTTAATGTTTCTGATAATTTATTTCTCCCTGTGATATCCAGTTTTCACATACAAAATATGCCAAGATAACTGAAAATTGGCTGTATGAAAACGTTACACAAGCTTACACAAAAGAGATACAGAGGGCCATTGAGATAGCTCAGCAGACTAAGCACTTGCTTAGGCAAGCACAGGGACCAGGATTAGATCCCTGGTACCACATGCTCTCCAGCCCCATCCCCAGGTGCGCTGAGCTGCCGCTGATTCGGTATGGTGGCACCCTCCTGTAATCCCAAGGCTGGGGAGGCTGAAAATAGGATCACTACAAGTCCAAGCTTTGTAGTGAGACCCTGTAGACCCTTAATAAAACAAACAAAACCAAGCAAGCAAACAAAAAAACCAAAAAAGAACCTATGTTATAAAGGACTGTGTTATGGTTTGTGTGTATTTGAGACCCCAAATAGTAGATCAGACTCATAGTCCCAAAGAGCTGGGATTATAGGCTCGCACCACCAGGCCCAGTCTCAATCACTGGATCAGCATGCCCCAGGCAGGACCAGATGGAAGCCTGGCTGCTACATCTGCCTAAGCGGGCGCTTTAATCCGCTGAGCTATTCAGCCAGA